AAAAATTCATCAGTTTTTTTCTCCAAGAGATAATTAATACATCTTCTTATCTTAAAAATGAGATGTTAATCATCTCCAATTTGGGTGCTTTGTTTCTGACTTCAGGAAAGTATAAAATTCAAAATACTGTCTTTCATGTACTGTTTCCTCAGGTTGAGCGTTATGGGGTGGTGCTAAAATGTTTGTTATAGAATCATAGAATGGCTTCAATTGAGGGATCTTAAAGATCATCTTGTTCCAACCTCATGGGCAGGGACACTTCCCACTATCCCAGGTTGCTCAAATCCCCATCAACTTGGCCTTAAACACTTCCAGGGACGGGGCATCCGCAGCTTCTCTTGGCAACCTGTGCCAGGGCCTCACCACCCTCACAGTAAAGACTTTTTCCCTAATACCTAATCTAAACCTACTCTTTTTCGGTTTGAAGCTGTTCCTCCTTGTCCTGTCACTTCAAGCTCTTGTAAAAAGTCCCTCTCCAGCTTTCTTGTGGCTCCTTCAGGTACTGGAATGCTGCAATTAGGTCACGCCTAAGCCTAGTCTTCTGCAGGCTGAACAATCCCAATTCTCTCAGCCTTTCCTCATAGTAGAGGTGCTCCATCCCTCAAATCCACTTGGTGGCCCTCCTCTGGACTCATTCCAACAGGGATCTCTTCATCTCTGTCATTGATGAAAGTATTAAATAACACTCGTCTGAATATGGACCCCTGAGGGGCACCACTTGTCACTAATGTCCTTGGGGACTCTAAGCTGTCACCATTCCCCTCTGGATGTGTCTGTCCAATCAATTCCTTATCCACCTTGGAGTCCATCTCTCCAGTTTAGGGAGAAGGACGTTGTGGCGGACCACGTCAAAGACTTTATGGAAGTCCAGATAAATGTCATCTGTAGCCCCTCCCTTGTCCACTGATGGAGTCACTGCATGGTAGAAAGCCACAAGGACTGCTGTGTTTGTTTGGTTTTTGTCTTATTGTTTTAGTTTCTGCATTTTGAAATTCTCAAATATAATGTGTTAAAACACTTTGTTGTCAAGAGTAGCCCCAGTGTAAAACTAATTTTCTTACTATTGTCTAAATATCTTAATACTGCATTTCCTGGGTAGCTTGGTGATCCATTCTCATTTATAGAATTCTGCTGTTCTTCTTTGTTTCTATTACTTTGACATCTTGCTTTTTCCTCCAAGTAGCAGAGAGGCACAGATAGTACATAGTTTATTTCAAACTGTGTGCATACTATGGGAAATAAATAAACTTATTTATACTTCACACTCATGTAGGAGGATTTGCTCTTTTCTTCATTGCTACATAGTTTAGATTTTACAGAAGGTGCTGCTGTTCAAAGAACTATATTGGATTGAGTAGCTTTCTGACACTACCAATGTGTTAGAGACAATTGTGAGTTTATAAAAGTTCTAATTTTAGATTCCTGTTAAAGTATAATGTATTATGATCCTACTCTTCATTTTTAGATTCTTTTCTCAGAGCTTTTTGGCTCTTCTGAAAGAACTTACATAAATTATACTTCATGTTTGATACTATTACAATTTTAAGTCTGGAAATAACAATGTTTTTAGTATTACTTCACTTAAAGGGGCATAAAATTGAACAAATTTAATTTGACTGCTCTGAGTGTTTGTGAATAGGAGGAAGAACTGAGGAGTACACAGTCATGCTTTTCCTATTGCTTTGTTTAAAATCCTCTCCTGGTAAATATTTACAGCATCTGGTGCTGTCTACACAAGTTTTGTGTACTGTGTAGTGTTGTTCAGATGCGCTCCTGGAGACAGAAATAAATTCCTAATACAGGAACAGCTTTGAGGCAGAGAGATGGTAAAAATTCAGGGAAATGGAAATGAAATTACCATTTTACCAGGAATTGTTAAAGGGACCATGACCACACCAAACAAAATTTACAGTACCATGAAATGAAATTTCAGCAGGCAAATATAAATTGAAAGCAAAATCGTTGTCTCATATGAAACTTAGAATGACAATAATAGACTTCTCATTTCATACCTTGTTTTGCTGTTCTGTCTCTTCAGGTAGTTTGACATACTGAACACTAGATACGCAATTGTAACAATGCTACTCCTTGGTATTTTGATACCTGTTATTTCTACTGCTTGGTGGTAAATTTGCTATGCATGTGTTAAAAAAATATAATAAAAAAAGTGATGTCTAACTGGAGGGAAAAAAAGATTTTAAATATCTTTCTCTTTTATTTTCATCCTTATGGAGGAAGGTGACACTAATAATGGTCGGTCTTGATAATGCTGGTAAAACTGCTACAGTCCGAGGAATTCAAGGAGGTGAGGAGGTTATTTATTGTCTAAATGGAATACTGAGAGAGAATAATTCCTAATTTTCAATCATTTAAATCTGAAAAGCCCAAAAACCCAAATGTTCAGGGTATCTTGATGCTTATATGCCTTGAGTTGACCACTGTATTGTTAACTGTGCAAAATGCTAAACTGCAACAAAAAAGTGCTAAATTGCAACAAAATATGTTCTGGGTTTTTTTTAAATTTCATGAGCATCATAGGATATTTTTGACGAGAATAAGGTTTTTTCAGCAGTTCAATAAATAGCTGAAGGAACATTGTAACTACAAACAAGCTGCTAGTCTCCGTCAGTTGATTTAAGTGAAAGAGTAGGACAAAAACTCTGAAGGTTGTAGACCACATTCTATGTAATAATTACTTTGAATTAATGCCATGATACAAAATATTCTGGTTAAAGATCTGCTTCACATGTTGGTGTACATTAGAGAAATCAATGGACTTCATATTTTTTTTTTTTACTTGTGTGCCTGTGCTGAAGTTGCTCTCAGGTGACCATCCAGTAACGTGCAAACTTTATATAAAAATCAGTGTTGTAATTATATATAATGACAAAAAGGTTAAAAAGAGGGAAATTGCATATGTGTATATAATAACATTAAGGATGGTTCTAATAATACATATTTTTTATCATCATTTATCATCAGAAAAGCACTGAAATTAGTGCCTAGAAAATTAATAGTAAGAGACAATTTTGAAGGGTGCTTTGAACCATCCAATGACACAGTGCAAGCAGGATGTAATTTGAGATAAAACTTGTGCTTATGAAAATGAAAATTCTCTGTGGGATTTTTTCCCCCTACTTCTGGAATTGTCTTTCTAAATAACTTTCGTCTTCTGCAATAACAAGAGTGTATTTAGTAGTGTTTTGGCAGACTTGGAGACTCCACCTCAACTTTCTGTTTACTTGTGCTATGTAAGAAAGCAGGAATAAAATCAAGGATATTCTCTCATATTCCTGAATCTTTGCCCTGAAAACATGACTGTTTAGTTATTTAGCCTTCCATTCTATGTCAAAATCCACTTTAATACCTTTATTAGCTCAATATGACAGTTATTTCTAAAAATCCTATTTTTCTGGGGAAAAAAGATAAGGTAAAGATGAGTATTTCTAAACTCAAGGAAAAGATAGTTCTGATTTCTGTCACTGTTTTGCAGTGTTTAAATAGTTGCCTTTTAATGCAATTATGGGGGTTTTTTTCCCTTAGTAGGGCTTGCAGAGATTAGAACCAGTATTTTTGGCTGTGCATCAGACACCCAGTCTGTAGGAGGAGACTGCAGCTGCAGTTGGTTTCTGCTAAAACCCAGCTGTCATATCTCAGTTTTTAGCACTCTGGGTAAATCAGCATGGCCACCAAAGTCTTATTTGCCAAAATAACTGAATTTTACACCTGTTTCTCTTGCCTTGTGCCTACTAAACTACATAAAACAGTTGAATATATCCAATTATCTCAGCCCTGCAGAGAGAGCTTAGTGGTGTGAAGCAAGTACAGGCTTTCTTTGCCCTCAGGGAAGGCAGACATTGAGCAAGAGTTTTAAATATAAAGCTATAATAGTTTTAGCATATTGCATGGCAAACTAGAAACACAGAAAATAACAAACAAAGGCTGAAACCTGTTCTTGAATAAAGAGAGTTAAGTAGTTTACATCTCAGAGGAACATGGTTTTGTTCACTTCATCTCAGGCCTTGGTTTGAACTTCTGAAGTTGTTTTGGCAACCATGGAGGATAAAGAATAAATTTGGTAGAGCACAAGGGTTCCCAGGTCATAATGCATTAACTGTTTTGTTTGTTTTCCTTCTCAAACTTGAATTAATACTATGCAAATGCTGAATAACTGTTCAGATGGTGGTGATGGGCAAGTAAAAGTGGCAGTACACTGAACACCACTGCAATGGAACTGTCTATATTAAAATATTAAATATTTAATATAAACATATGAGTTATATTATTTATAAATAGAAAAATAAATCTATTCTATAAATAAATTATTAAAACCTGCATTTTTGGCTCCTTTCTTTTCTCCACCCCCCTGGTCTAATGCTCCTTCTAAATTAATGTAAAGCAACTGGCTAAAAGACTAATATGTTAATTCAGAATTACCTGAGAAAAGGGGAAAATCTTAATGTAAAAATAAAAATGTGGTTGGCAATGTGATGCCATTTAACAGAGAGATTTCACTCCATGTTTTTAAAATATGAATTTTGCTACACAAATCATGATATTGAATCCTCTTTAAACTGAAAGATAAACTTTCTTTTTTGAACTTTGACAGAGTCTCCTGAAGACGTGGCTCCAACAGTTGGGTTTTCCAAAATTGATCTTAAGCAGGGACGCTTTGAAGTGACAATCTTTGATTTGGGAGGTGGAAAACGAATTCGGAATATCTGGAGGAACTACTATGCTGAGTCCTACGGGGTGATATTTGTGGTGGATTCCAGTGATGTTGAAAGAATGGAAGAAACAAAGCAAGCCATGATAGAAGTTTTAAACAGCCCTAAGATATCAGGAAAACCTGTATTGGTGTAAGTAATGTAATAAATGTTCTCCTAATAATCTGAAATTTGGGAAATTTAGACCTTCTGAGGAATCATTTATGTATAGTATGAACATAAGTTAAAGTGATATACTAATAACTAATACTACTAAGTTAAAGTATGCTAATACTGCTGTAACTTTAGCACTAAGCAATATTACAATTAGTTTTATGGTATTTATGTTTATTTATGTTACTCTCATATCATGCTGGGGAACAAAGCCTCATCTTTCTTTCCCTCTTTCCCTTCCTCTTTCTCTCCATAGTTGCTGGTGATATCCTAAATCCATTCACTGCCTCTGACTTTATCTCTTATTTAAACCTTCTCAGGGGTATCTATTTGTCTTCTCTTTCTTTAGCAGTGGAAAAACAATAAGATGAGATTTTTTAATATTTTAAAATTGTAATATTACTTGAAATGACAGGCTTTACAAATCTGGCATGACAACACGATGTAAAAATATCATTACTTAGGCCTGCATCAATTACTTAAATTGTAAATGCTTGATTATACTCAGCAATACTGGTGATCTCTCAGCAATAAATGTCTTGTTCACTTAACACATGGTGGTGCTGCTGATACATGATAAGCAAAATCTTATTAAAGGAAGCTTCCTTTAATAGAGTTTGGCATGTGCTTTTTCTCTGCTTAATAGGTTTTGTAAAATATTGGAAATAACATATTTCATTCAATTCGGGCCCACCAAAGGTCTTTGATAACAAATACCCTTTTGAAGTTACAAAATAAAGTTTAAAATGGTTTATCAGGACAATGTCTGGTGGGCATAAGACCTCCATAATGCCTTAAATTGCACAACATTTCTGTGCTATCGTAAGTGTCGTGGTTTGAGAGCCCCAAAATCTGTAAAATTAAGAGGAGAAGCGTCTTACTTTAAAGAAATAGTGATGCTGTGGTAACCACCAGGGTGCAAGTGGCTAATTGTTTTGATGAAGTGGAGTGTAGTTCAGCAAGCTAATGGTGTATTTGTTGAAAATAGATTAGATTTTACCTTCCATTGCTCTGAATGTTACTAGTGCAAGGGAAGGCAATAAAGGCAGCTTAATGTAGTGACTTTAACCCAAATCTGTTCTGAAAATGTAGCTGTGACAGTTGACAACTGTTTCTAATTAAATACAACGTCGGGGTGTTTTTGGGTTATGATGTGGGGGGTTTTGTGGTTTTGTTTGTTTGTTTGTTTTGTGTTTGTTGTTGTTTTTGTTTCTTTTGGGTTTTTGTTGTTGTTGTTGGGGGGGGTTGTTGTTTGTTTGTTTGATTTGTTTTTTGTAGAAATCTCCGTGCCCTAATCCTGTAATGGAGTTTATTTGGGTGACTGGCTGTACCTGCAGAGACCCCACTCACTTCCCTGGGACTTGATCCTGCTTTATGATCCATATCAGTGGCTAATCAGAAGGCAAAGTGTATTTATTAACTGAGTTTACTTAGACTAAACTAAATTTGTTGATGTTATTGCCTTCTAATAGATTCTTAAAGTGCAGAAGGTATTGGCTGTTGTTGACTCTTCATACAAATTACTTGGAGATGTTAAACTTTCTAAAAATGTTAACATTTTTCTTCCTGTTGAGTGTTATCACCTAATCTATGTTTGCTTTGCTCATGTTCAACAGTCAAGTGCTTAAGGAGTTACTCAGTCTGTTATTTATGGGGGCACTAAGTTGTAGAAAGTAGTTCATACAGTTCTTAGATTCATTGGTAAATTCTTTCAGCATCCTCAAGCCTTATACAGGTATACAGGTTTAAATTTTCTTCACTTAGAATGTTTTTTTTGTCCTTCCTTTTATCAGAAAGGAACACACAGACTTCCTATTATTTAGACAAATACTGGTTTTGTTTGGGGTTAATTGTGTCTGCTGGGGCTTTTATTTTGGTTGTCTGGGGTTTTTTTGTGTTGGAAGAGGAAATGTGAGTCTGTGTGCTATGGCAGATGTTTTTATACTAGGGAAATTGCTGGCCAGGTATTTTTATTTTAGTAGAAAGCTCATTTCTGCCTGTTATTTTGGTGATAAGGGATTAAAGCTATTAATATTTTACTTTTCTTAGTAGAACACTCAGAGCTCTGCTTTAATTAGTTTGCTCTTCTGTATGATTATATAACTAACAAAAACACTGGAAAGTTACTTTAGTGATCACTGCAAAATTTCTGCTGTTCATAATTTTGAATGCTCAACATCAAATTCCCATGATTTCAATGTAAGTTTTAGTTAATGCTATTTATTTTCAGTTATTAGCACCCTGTATTAAGAAAAAGCTTTCCACAAGTCCTGGTTTTCTCACTTCCAGTTGTTCTTCAGTGTGTTTTATATCTTTCTGTTTTGCCTGTTTCTAACCAAATATACATCTGAGAACTACTCAAATTGTTAACTTTTGTATTGTTTTCCTACGTATTAGTGAAACTCAAGTTTTACTCCACAATTTAAAGCACAACTCTTGTTTAACAAGATCATGTTTACTTCAGAAAAACATCTCTGTTGTGTGAAGAAGAAGGCTGGCCCAGGAACACATTTCCCTCTCAGATAAGGATGTGAACACCTCTGCATGGGAGATGCTGTGTAAACCAGTGGTGTTTGCTGTATTTTGATTTTTCTCTCCTGTCAATCCTGGCTGCAATAATCCCTCAAGAAGTACCACAATGCCTTTCTGTTTAAGGGCCCAGGAGAGAAGGAAAGTTATGTACCTTTGTTTTTTCTAAAAGTAAAAACAGGAAAGGAAGATGGGGTGGTGTTGATGTTAGGTGCGTATTTCTGTGTGTATTATATAAGTTTATATACATACATACATACATACATACATACATACATATATATATATATATATAGGTTGACCATAGCAACTTTTTTCTCTGTATTGTTTATTGTCTGGTTTCTACTCTGCTCTTGGAACATAAAGGTAGTTTCCATATATACAGCAGTTAAGGGAGGTTGTTTAATGAAATAGTATCTGTGGTGTCATTAACTTTATTTCTTATAAATGTTATAATATTTTTCTCTTTAAGGTTCAGACCTTTGATTGTATTTTGATAACAGTTAATTTCAGTTGCAATTTTAATGTGGGATGGAAGGAATCCAACTATTTATAAATATCACAATGTAACAATATTCAGTAGTGCCCTTTGATAGTACTTTGATTTTTTTTTTTTTTGTCCCACTAGATGAAACTGAAGACATGTAGCTCACTTAGTATCTTTTAGGATTGTAATGCAGTTTGTTCTGCCTTCTCTGACTGTATCCAGATATAGTAGTATTGATTGTGCCTTTGCACAGCACAAAGAGTTCAGAAATACGTTTCTGGTTTGGGGTTTGGTTTTAGCGTGGAATTTTTTTTTTAACTTTCTTTTTGGAACTTTTTTCGCCTCTGTTGCAGTGTTATTTTCTGTTAAATTTCATTAGAGAGCTGTTTCTCGTTAAGTTCCAAAAGCAGTTGGGAACAGGGTAGAAGCCAGCCACTGGGAATATGGAAAGCAAAAGCACTCCTTTTCTGCTTGCTGGTTTAGGTACTCAGGGGAGCTATTCTTATTTGCTGCTTTAGGCATCTGGTTTTCATTCCTATTTGAAGATCTCAAGCTTCTACAATCAGCAGAATTTCATGGAACCATCTAGAGTTGTGGAAACCCTCCATTAGTTCTGGCAACTCCTGTAGAGTACAAATAAATGCATGTCCTGCACCATTCTGGACTTCCCACCACAGGACTACCATGAAGATAAGTGTGATTATTATGTAGTGAGTCCGGTTGGGTACTGGAGCATGTGACATATCAGGAGAGTCAGAGAGCTGCTTTTGTTCAGACTAGAAGTAAAGAAACTAAGGGAGAGATCTTCCTGCTGCCTAAGCAATAAGGTGGTGAAGATAACAGGGTTCTTTTCAGGGGCACGTGGTAGGATCAGAAGTGGTAGACAAGAGCTGCAACTAGGAAAATTTCTGTCTTGATTTGAGCAAACGTTGGAGCAGAAGGATGATCTGGAGGTCCCCCAGAAATTCCTTCCAACCCTAAATCATCCTCTGGTTCTAGATTTTTTTTTTTAATAAGTATGGAGTTCTATTGGTTTTTTATATTTTTCCTTTAATTTTTGTACTAGCAAAAGTGAGACTGCAGATGCAACTGAACATTTAGGTAGAACAGGCAGCAGTAAGAAAATGCCTTAACACTGTGTGATAAAGTATCATATTCCCCTATCCTTACCTAGTAGGGGGTCTGCCTGTGTAGCTGAATAATATAAATATCTCTCTGTCGGTTTGTTAATGCTTGGCTTCTCAGCAAGCTGCTGACAAATATCCCTGTAGGTTTGGTGATGTGATGTGCTCTGCTGCTGCTGGTATTCTTGAATTTGTTCAGAAAACAGCAGCTCAACCCCTATCTGTAAGAAATACAGCAGGGTGTTATTAAATAAATAACCCAATGTCTGTGAGTAACTTTTCCTGTAGAGGTTGTAGTGAAACACTCCAGATAACTCTCTTCTGACTTTTTGTTTGGTTTAGGCATCACATTGTGGATTGTTACTAATGGAGTCTGCTTTATGTGTAGATTGGTTTTGTAGAATTTCAAATTTCTGGGGAAAAAAACCCCGTAGAATTTGAATCAAGTAAATAAAAGTGCTAAAAAACACAAGGCAATTAAAAATACCAATTATTATTTTGCGAAAAGCAACTAGACCATTATTATGAAATCTGTCTTTGAGATAACAATGCTTTCAATGCTTCCCAAAAGCACAGGTAGTTTGTTGCCACATTATTTTAGTTTGAGTCAGAAGAACAAAAAAGTGGCACTTTCGTCCTTTGATCCTTTCCCCTCATTCATGTGATTGTGTGAAAACCATAACATTCTTCGCATTCTTCTAACTCTCTTTGGATAAGTAGACAGAGTTTTTCCTGAGAGCGCTGTTGAAGGGAAAATGAGATCCTAAGACTGCTTTTCAAGATCAGTTTGCTGTGTAGGAACCATTGGTATTTCCAGGAGTTCATTTCTTTTATCATTT